TCTCTCCCTGTCCCTCTTCCCCTTATTCCTCCCCCTCACTCAATGGTGTTATTTCTGGGCTGACTCCAGGATTCTTTCATAGAGCTGTCTTGGCCACACCTCCTGTGGCTATAGACACATTCCCAATGGTGAGTAGGGCCTATGCCCTCCAGTTCACGCCCTTGCCTGAGTTGGTTGGCTATGTGGCACCAGTCATTGAACTGGTTGGTACCTCCCTCTGGCCAGGCATCGAGTCCTGCACTCCAGTTTTTCTCCACCCATGGCAGTGGGTTTGGTGGTCACCTGAGCTGAGCCAGTGTGGATGGAGATCTCTCCCTCCCTGCTGCACAACCTCCTCCAAAGAGAGAGGCAGAAGTGTGAAGAGGCATCAGGGGTTAGTTAGGTGGCTGCAAAGTAGACAAGGGGCAGCTAGCTAGAGGCAAAGGCAGGGAGATCAGCATGTGTGTCGCCAGGGGAATAAGCAACAGCCAAGCCGACACCTGCTCCTGGTGACAGGAGCATGGGCTGGAGGACACTGGATGTTCATGGCCAAACTCTCAACCCCATCTCCACATGGCCAGGAGGGGACAGAGGATGTGCTCCGTGGGATCTGTAGTGGGTTCCCACTCTGGTCTCAACCTCACCTCACAGCCCAGATCCATCTTGTGCAGCTACCTCCCAGTCAAGTGCAGAGCTCAATGGGCTTGCCGCCCCAATTCCCTTTAGAGGGAAGATGATGGGCAGCCAGGCTAGCGGTCAACCTGTTGGTTGGTGACAGTTGGACACAGGGCTCCCTGCCACCTGTGCCGAGGAGCCACTGTGCTTTACACATGACTGTCAGGAGTCAGGGTGTTTCTCTTGGAGGTGGGTCATGAGGGTAAGCTCTTGATAGGTGAAAGCCTCTTTTCTCCCAGATGGCAGGTGTCCCATGAAGCTTGGGGCAAAGGTGACAATGAGGGTTAGATGGACAGGTAGAGTCCAGGTCCTGGGGGGTTGGGAGAACACGTGTGGGGATTTGGGGGGAAAGGGCTGGGGCTGGGGCTGGCAATCAACTGGGGTTCTACAGAAGTTCAGAGCATTCAAGCATGGGATCCTGAGCTCTGAGTGACTATGTTGGGCAGCTTGTGGGTGGAGACTAAGGTACCATGGGTCTAAGAAGGTAGGAGGAAGCCAGGTTGAGGAGACCAAGTGATTGTGAGTGGTCAGAAAAACAAGTGAGAGAAAGCCTGTGGGAGGAGATTGGGGTGGGAGGTGGAGGAATGGTGGTGGGTGCTGGGCGTGCCAAGGGCTGAATGGGCCTCTGAGGAAGGAAGGAGAGGAGCAGCATATAGCAAATGGGAGGAACTGGCCATGGTTCCAGTGAGATTAAGCCCCTCTGATCACAGAGGTCCACTGAGAGAGTCAGACAGACAGATGTGTGCGTGTGTGTGTGAGAAAGAGAGAGAGAGAGAGAGAGAGGGAGGGAGGGAAGGAGGGAGGGAGGACAGTATTGGGAGAGTGAGGGGCCAGATGGACCCCAGCTCACACTCCTCACACACTGAAAGTTGTATACAGTGGTAGGCTAGTGGTAGACCAGGCTGGTGGACCGAAAGTTGAATCTTTTCTTTTCTTTTTTTTTTTTTTTTTTGTTGGTTTTGGGGCTTGAACTCTGGGCTTGGGCACTATCCCTCAGCTTTTCAGCTCAAGGCGAGTGCTCTACCACTTGAGCCACAGCACCACTTCGTTTTCTAGTGGTTTATTGGAGATAAGAGTCTCATGAACTTTCCTGCCTGAGCAGGCTTTGAACCGTGATCCTCAGATCTCAGCCTCCTGAGTAGCTAGGATTGCAGGCGTGAGCCACCGGTGCCCAGCTGAATCTTTTCTTTATTTGAGACAAAACCTGCAAGAGGTGAGTATATGTCTGAAAAGGTAATTAAGTGATGCCCGAGGAGCAGACACTGTGCAAGTGGTGAGCCTTGAGCCAAGTTGCGTATTACGGGAGATGAGGGGTTTGGGTGGGGTGAGGGTGGAGATGGTAGGTGTCAGCTGTGCTGCTGCGGGGATTCGAAGACATGCTGTGGCTGCGGGTGGCATAGGGGAGACAGCAGTATTCATGGGGCATGGTAGCACTGGAAGTCCCGGGAGGTCCATGGTATGCACGGATGATAGTGGGGCACGTAGGAGAGCTCAGAACAGGTGTTGTGGCCATTGGAAAAGTGTACTTGTGGGCTGGTTAGTGGTTTGGAGAGAGGGGGTAGGACAGGTCAGGAGGGGGGTTGATGGGGTGGCGGGGCAGGATGCAGGTACAGTGTGGTGGGGTATGTGTGTGTGTGTGTTTGAAATGGTGTGAGGTGAAGGACTAGTGGGCAAAGATGGAAGAAGGAATATTTTCTGTCTGACTGTGAGCGTGTGTGAGTGTGTGTGCACACGCGTGCATAGGCTAAGGGCCAAAATAAGGTCTAGCAATGAGCTGCATGGGCCAGGAATCGAACCCGGGCCTCCTGTGTGGCAGGCGAGAATTCTACCACTGAACCACCCATGCACAGTCATCGGAGGCCGTCTGCTCAAGGCACAGATGTGCACCCAGGCTGGCCAGGCATAGCTGTTGCCTGCCTGCCCTCTCTGAGCAACTGCTGGCTTCACGTGCGCGCCAGGGTCCCGCGGTGGCACAGGATCCATGATGGTACAGGGGGCCAGGCCATGGGCAAGTAGAAAGAAAGGCTGGCTCCCAGACGGTGGGCTCAGGAGGGGGTCGTGGGTGCCTACTGCTGCAGGGAGGGGGTGGGGTGGGCGGGGAGTGCGCTTTCCCTATCCTGTGCCATCCCTGCTGGACTGCCTATTGGGTTCAGCGTTGTATGTCCGTCAGGACAATGGACGTGCCGTGCCGTGTGCCGTGAGTGGCTGAGCGCCACAATTTCCTTGGCTACCTGCATTCTCCAAAGCGTGGATGTCCTCTCCTGACAAAGCTCGCCTGTCCAGTCCTGTCTGGTCCGACGTGCAGGTCAGGGGCATCATTTCCGGCGCCAAGGGCCCCCCTCCCCATGTTCCCTGCACTCCATACTCCTCTTACCCGAGCCATTGTTTCAGCTCATCACTCCTGCCTTCCCCGTTTTTCTTTGCCCTGCTCTGTCCTGTTCTGTTCTGCTCTGCTTTGGTGATTGCTTCTCTGCTCTGCTTTGCTTTGTTGTACTCTGCCCTGCTCCCTACTTCACTTCCTGTGTGGTGGTGGTGGTGGTAGTGGTGGTGGTGGTGGTGGTGGTGGTGGTCTGGCTATCACTGGTGAGCTATCGCCTGATTGTGCCTCATTGTGAGAGGTGTTGGCCAATCTGGGAAGAGAAAGACACCCTCCTCGCCCCCCCTCCCTCCCCCCCCCCCCCCCCCCCGCCCTGCCCTGGCCCAATTTTGAGCCAAGCAGGGGAGGAGGACAGTTTCCCAGCAAGACACAGATAGCATCATCCTCAGCAGGGTGCAGAGAGAACAGAAGGGGTTGGGGGACATGGTAAGGAGACATAGGGGTCCCAAGCACTGATGACCAGGACTGGAGGTGGATGGGGGAGGGGCTGCCCCTAGAGCCTCTGTGCAGAAATGTGTGGCTTTGGGGCAAGTGATTGCTCAGGCCCTCCTTCCAGAGACAGAGTGTGGGGCAAGGGAGGGGCTGTTCTTTCCAGCTTTCTCTTTCTTCCTGCTCTCTTCCATCTGAATTGTGTCACTCATTTCAGGGTGGGTCCTCTTTCTTAATCCTCTCTGAAAGCATCCTTACAAGGAACCCAGAAGTATGATTTACTTATCTCTTAGGCATAACTCTCCAATCAATTTGACAATATAGATGAATTATTGCCACACCCCTCTCATAACAGAAAGCTTGAAAAGCCACATGATACACTTGGAACTCAATTGCCTTGCATTTAAAGCACTAACTATTGCTCTGATTTCCAATAGATGAAAGGCATTAATGAAATAACTTCAATTTCTTCTTCCTCCTCCTCCTCCTCCTCCTCCTCCTCCTCTTCCTCCTCCTCCTTCTCCTCTGTTCAAATCTTTGCTGCAGCCACATCTGTTCAGGGAAGCTACATTCAGGGACAAACGGGCACCTTTTCAAGACTACTGGCTTGGCAGAGGCCTTCCCCACCCTTCCCTACCAGCTGTGCCATGTTTGGCATCTGACAACTACATATTACATGGCTGTTATTTGGCTGAAACTCTGTGGCTTCAAGCCTATTGACATGCTGTCTGAGTTCTGATTCCCTAGAAAATAGCCTGCAGCAGAAGGCCATGTGCTAGCACATGGATGAGTCTAATTCCAGGGAAAAAACATGAAAGAGAATAGGAGGGGCTAAGAAAGAACTAGAACATATACAAGGGTGAGTATGTTCAAGTTGGCCTGAGATTTGCAACAAATGACTTGCTTAGTTACTTGGGATGTCCACATATCAAGCTTTTATGTTTCTCAATAGTGCATTTGCACTGTTAAATGATCCACTAAATTAAATTTACTCACTGGATTTATTATCTTCTTAACCCCCTTACACCATCATGCCTCCGCAGAGCAGGGGACCCAGGGCGGAGGTAGGTCAGGCCATACCCCTACATGTCAGGAAGAACATGGACCATTACCTGAAAACCTGATTCCACAGTTATAGGAGCCATGCGAGCCACGGCTGTAGTCACTCCAGCCAGAACAGTTCAGTGCATCTGCTCAGCATCACTTGATGGCCAGCAGCTGTAACCCAGCCCAATAGCTTTAGGACAATGTTCTCATCAATGGCCACAAAACACTGCATATTGAGCCTGAGAGTTCCTCTTCCAGATTCAGCAGCCCAGAGCTAATTCAGCTCCAAACCAAGGACAGCTTCAAATAAATAGTTGTAAAAAGCCAAGCTACAAAGCCCACACAGCCTGTGCCAAGCAAGTGCCACCCATATGCAAAGTCATCTGCCCGGTTATAGTAGGAGCCTCCTTCTTTGCTATGTATCTTTCCTTCTTGATTTCTCCTCTGATTTCTCAAGGATTGACATCTAACGTATCTGACATTGAGATTGAAATTATGTTCCTGAAGCTGCAGGCACTTTTTATTTATTATTTTAAAGAGGCAGGTTCTTGGAAACGTAGGGCAGAGGCGAACATGAGCTTCTGTGCGAGTCCCTTGATTATGAGAAAGGGAGACTGAGGGGCTGGATCATGCAGGCCCATACATTCCTTCTGGACCCACCGGGGAGTTGTGTCAGTGACGCTAGCTTAGAAAGTGAGGAGGGAGTAAGGGCAGAGAAGGGCCGGGAATATGGTCCATAGGGGTTCCCTCCACAAAGAGGCAATGATAGGAGTGATGGGAAGACATGCATCCTCCTCACCCCAAATTCCATCAGGCAGTCAGGGGCTGGCCTTAAGAGTTTCAGACAGATAGAGTTTCAAGAGGGTCAAACACAGTCCTGCTAGAGAGAGGTTGATCAGTCCATTGTTCTTTGGGATATGTGCTTTCTGTTTGGCATAGGATGGTAGGAACTGCACCAGGCAGATGGTAATTGAGAAATACACTCCTAAAAGCACAATTGAGAGGCTGTCCTTGCTGAGGAACACCAGCAGCAACCACAGCTGAAGCCTACCAAAGCCGCCAGGAAAGGCAATGCCTGCAGCCTGTGCTGGGAATAACAGTAAACATTCTCCCAGCACAGGGTGGTAGCCTGGGAAACAAGCAGGAGTCCAGCAGGGCTGGATTTTCTACTTCGGCAATCCATTTGTCCCACGGAGAGGTGCAGCAGTTGAAGCAGCAGCTGGACAGGTTGCAGAATCATGTGTGCATCATTGAGGAGGCTGACAGTTGGGCTTGGAAGCCGAAGTGCATGCCACCTTCACCTCTGTGTAGATGACAGGGGAGCCCTAGTGGGGAAGGGCATGGAGGTGAGGTGCAGAGCTTATGGGCCCACATGGGAGGCCATGCAAGTCAGGATACTCACCTTATTTTCAGGGACCATGGGTACAGAGGCCACTGTGGAAAGAAGAAGAGTATTCAGATGTGGAGACTGCCTGTGCTCTGCCCCTGTACTGCTGCTAGGCCTCCCTGTTCCTTTAAGCCTCTTTCTGTCCAGCAAGCATTCCAACAGCACTGACCAGCCCTCTCCCTAATATCACCTCACACTTTGTTATATACTCTGAGCTGAGGACTCTCAAAAGAAGAAAATGACACTTTATCTTGTTAAGGGATTTGATTTTAGATTCATGTATGGATATGGAGAGGCCTGGAAAGGGCTTTATAGACCACTGTGGACGGAGCCCTGAGTCTGCCTTTCCCTCCTTGGGCTGTGGAGCAAGTCACTTAACTTCTCTTGCCTTGGTTACCTCATCTATATGATGATAGAAGTCAACATAGCATCTGCCTATAGGTTTGTTGTAAAGAATATATATATATATATATATATATATATGCACATATATACATATATATCATCACAACAAATGTATCTTTAAATTTTTTTTTCTTTAAGTAGTTGTACAAAGAAGTTCCCATTCTTGGAGCTGGGAAGGTGGCTCAGTGGAAGAGTGTTTGCCTTGCATGCATGAAGCCCTGGGTTTGATTCCTCAGCACCACATAAGCAGAAAAAGCCGGAAGTGGTGCTATGGCTCAAGTGGTAGAGTGCTAGCCTTGAGCTGAAGAGCTGAGGGACAGCGCCCAGGCCCAGAGTTCTGGTCCCACGACTGACAAAAAAAGAAGTTACCATTCTACAAAACAGTATATAAATACAAAGTGTCTGATAATATTGTCACTCATTACCCCTAACCCACCCCTTCTCTCACTTAACAAATGCATCTTATACATGGATATGTATGTCATATGCTTGTGTCTGTATAATTTCTATCATATATCATGCATTAAACAGTTGTACTATTTTTTCTCTCTCATCATATGCATGGATGCCACTGTGCATGTATATGCCATGGTGCATATCATAAATATATATGCACAAATATGCTACAGGTACAGTTCTTTTTTTTTTTTTTTCGGTCAGTTGTGGGACTTGAACTCTGGGCCTGGGCACTGTCCTGAGCTCTTCAGCTCAAGGCAAGTACTCTACCAATTAAGCTACAGCGCCACTTCCATTTTTCTGGTGGTTTATTGAAGATAAAAGTCTCATGGATTTTCCTGCCTGGGCTGGCTTTGAACCTCGATCCTCAGATCTCAGTCTCCTGAGTAGCTAGGATTACAGGCATGAGCCACAGGTATCTGGCAAGGTACAGTTCTAAGGGATATACACGCACGTGTGCACACGTGCGCGTGAGCGCATACACACACACACACACACACACACAGGGTATTTGTAGCCCTCAGAACTATACCTAGCACATAAGAATTGCTCACAGAACAGATGTTAGCAGTTAACTGTTAATGCTAAATTATCTTCACACTAGAGTAAAGCACGGCATTGTCTACTTTGGGCTGAGTGTTAAGGATTCCTGGAACTACACTGAGAATTTTAATTCTGGAGCTCATTTGTGTGTGTGTGTGTGTGTGTGTGTGTGTGTGTGTGATTTATGACTTCAGATGAATCATTGAAAGTCAGTGTCCTCATCTGTAAAATAGGCATAGCAGTGTTTACCTCAAAAAGAGTTGTAAGTTTGAATGAGCTCCTAGGTATTAGAGAGGTGTTACAGAGAAAAAAATGGGATGTGAACAACACAGTTCATTTAACTTTATAAAAAAGAAATCAGAAACTTAGGAGAATGTAATAGCTAAAATTACCTGGTACTTTTTGAAAAGCAGATTCAGAAAGAAAACCCTGCCCTGAAGGACGCTGCCCCCCTTTCCTGCTCCTGGCCTCCAGGCTGGATTCCTCCTTGTGGTCCCTACAACATTTAGGACTGTTGACATAGACAGACTACCAGCACAGAGCATCATCATGGCTGCTTTAACACTGCCACTTTCACACCATTTCCACTTCTATGTGCTGTGTCATATTCACCATAACCCTCTGTGGGTTAGCTGGAATTATGCCCTTCCCCAAAGATATCTACATCCTAATCAAGGAACCTGTGAATAGGTAATCTTATATGGCTTTTCATATGTAAAGATTAGAGACTTGGGGATTCTGAATTATCCATGTGAGTTCAATATGAATCCTTAAATTCAGAGAACATTTACTGGGAAGAATAGTTACAATGTTGCGACGCTGCTGGCTTTGATGGCTGGCCATCAACCTGAGCTTTGCAGGTTAACTAACCTCATGGAAGGGAACACAAGCCAAGGGAAGTGGGCAGCCTCTGCAAGCTGAAGAAGCCAAGAAACACATTAACTCTACAGCTCCAGAAAGACATACTGCCCAGCCCATACCAAGAATGACTTAGTGAGACTCATGTCAAACTTTCTACCTATAGAACCAGAAGACAGTTTGTATTATGTAATCATACCAAGTTTATGGAAATTTGTCACTGCAGCAACCGAAAATAAATAAAAAGTAGAAAAGTCCTATTAGACTGAATGTGTCTTTATCCAAATTCATGTGTTGATGCTCAAACTCTCAGTGTTACAGTATTTTTAGAATTTGGGCCCTAGAGATAATTAGGTCATAGTGAGATTCATACTTTTTTGACATGAGAAAGATAATTTCTCTGCTGTATAAGCATAAAGCAAGAAGGTATCTTGTCAGGGCTGGGAGTGGGGTTCAAGTGGTAGAACACTTGCCTGACAAATGTGAGGACTGGAGTTCAAATCCCAGTATCATTCAATAAATCAATCAAGGAGACCCTTATCTGTATATAAACCAGGGAGAAGGCTCTCACTGACAATCTAGCATCTTGGTTTTGGATGTCTAGCTTCCAGAACTGTAAGTAGTAAATGCTTATTCTCTAAGATGCATTGTGTAGTATTCTATCATAGCAGCTAAACTGACAGAGAATGGGGAATGATACTCAAATTCCCCTTTGTAGATGAAGATGCTGCTACTGGGAGGGGTGAAAGGACTTCAGGTAATGACCTTGTTACACAAGTGATACTAAGGCCGTCTGCAGAGAATAGAAAACACAATACTGCATGGGGGCTTTTGGGTCCGGTCGTGGGGCCTGAACTCTGGGCCTGGGCGCTGTCCCTCAGCTCTTCAGCTCAAGGCTAGCGCGCTACCACTTGAGCCATAGCTCCACTTCTGGCTTTTTTTTTCTGCTTCTGTGGTGCTGAGGAATTGAACCCAGGGCCTCATGCATGCAAGGCAAGCACTCTACCACTGAGCCACCTTCCCAGCCCTTGCATGGGGGCTTTTGGATCACACAAGAAGCTCCAGGGACTTGGTGAGGGACAGCTCTATGCCTCACTGGCCAGGACCTGCTAAGGAGATAGAGACTGAGCTGAGTTCAGATGCAGCCAGAATAGAGACTTTTCTAGGTCTTACCTGCATATGGCCTTGCCTTGGTGCACCACCGTACTTCTGAGTAAACCACATCTCCTCCTAGAGAATTTACTTAGAAAGAAGTTGGAAGTTCAGAAGATGCTAAGGTACTTATGTTTTATTTTAGCTACTTCCTCCTCCTCCCACTGGTTTATTCTCTGGAAGGCCTAGGGCCCTCTGGGGCTGTGTGACGTCACTCCTCATCTTTTGCCACAATCATTTCTTACACCCACTCTATGGTTGCTGACAATCCAGAGGGCCCTTGGTCCTCACCATTGCTGTACACTGGTTGCAGTTCTACCCAGCCTGATACATTCGAGTAGGTAGGTTCTTGGGGTTCTGAGTCTGAAGGCCTCCTGTGAAACACAAAAATACTGATGCCTGACATAGTAGTTAGAGTGACTACATTCAGCTAGCGAGGTCTTTATTATAGAGTAGTGAACATATAGACAAGTAAATAAATGATCGATGAGTACTGTATTAGACTAATAATGTTTTTAGTTGTTATGGCTACCCATATGCAATAAGCACTGTCTGTGCTAATGCCTATTTTAGTTAGGCATTATATTTATATTTAGTTCCATGCTGTCACCATTTTACACATGAAAAATGGAAATTCTTTTTAAGAAAAGCTGTTTGTGTGTGTGTGTGTGTGTGTATGCTGGAACTAGGGTTAAATCCAGAACCTGGACATGATCCCTAGCTTTGTTTGTTCAAAATCGGCATTCTACCACTTGAGCTACACCTCCACTTAGGGCCTTATTTCTGGTTAATTGGAAATGAGACTCATGGACTTGCCTTCTCAGGCTGGCTTTGAACCACAATCCTCAGATCTCAGCCTGCTGAGTAACTAGGATTACAGGCATGAGCCATTGGTGCCTAAGAAAAGACTTTTAGATAACCTTAACTACAAAAAGGTAAGGTTCCAGACAAGAAAACCACATAACCAGAAAGAGGGAGAGCTAAGATTCAAACCAGGCTCTAACATCTCTCTACATCTCCAAGAGATGAGAGTCACAGAGAAACCAGTAACCAGAAAGGTTATGAGGAAACTCCTAGTGATCTGAATACTTCTATCCAAGGGTTCCCAAGGGTAGTTTGTGAGCCTTAAGTCAGCTTTCAGGATTCAAGATGGTGGCCACATCGTACTGGAAAAGTGACTTCTCTGTCTTGCCAAAGTGCATGACTCCATCTTCTTGGCTGTCATCACAACTGGTTTTGACTGGCTTGGCCATGTCCAGAATTGTCCAGGCCATTGAAACAACATCATGTCAAGACACAGATGGATTCAGTGTCCACTTGGACAACCAAGCCAACAATGGTAAAATGGTGCAAGTTAATAAGTGAGAATCAATGAACACTTGATATGATAAGAAGGACAATGTAGCTAAAAGAGGAAGTCCTGGGAACTGTCTTGAACTACCCCAAGGAAGCTGGGGTACCATCCATTCAGCAATATATAATAGAAACTAGATTTTTTTGTGACAACTGGATTCAGTTCCATTTTTCTCTCCTATGGAAATTGCATGAACTATACAGAAATACTACCAAGGTCTTACCTGGTGGGGTCAGAGGCAGGCATTCTACCTGCAAAGGAAAACACAGAGACATTGGATTCCAGAAAAGGATGTTTTCTCAGGGGGCACGGCTCGAGGACACTCAGATCACTACCAGATGCTATTACTGATGTCACAACCCTTTGTTATGCCCAAGGAAGGATGTAGAAGGGACAAGAACTATGAAACTACTGACCTTGACCTCCAGGAGGGCAGTAGTTACTATGTGAAAGGGGAGTAACAATGCACAAGCCTTTTTTTTTTGTCAGTCATGGAGCCTGAACTCTGGGCCTGGGCACTGTCCTTCAGCTCTTCAGCTCAAGGCTAGTGCTCTAGCATTTGAGCTACAGTGCTACTTCCAGCTTTTTCTGCTTATGTAGTGCTGAGGAATCAAACCCAGGGCCTCATGCATGCAAGGCAAGCACTCTACCACTGAACTACCTTCCCAGCCCACAATCCACAGTCCTTTAACTTGGAGCATTAAAGGCAATGACCTTTGGTCTGAGTACTTCATATACATATATAAAAATACAATAATGAAGTCCATTAAAAAATGTTAAGTGATAGAACACTTGCTAGCAAGCACAAGGCCTTGAGAGATTTTTTTCTAAAGTTTGATAAATTGTACTTCAGGCTTTCTTTGATTTACATGTGTTTATTACTATAAAATTTAATATATATCATATGCAAATACATATCTATATTACTTTAAAATCACTGAACTGTTTTGTCTGAATCACTATTACTGATACATATATATATATATATATACATATATATATATATACTCATTTGTTCTTTATACTAATTTTCTAATAAACTCATTAGAAAAAGGAAAAATGTTAAAAAGTGGAGAAGGAGCATGGGAGAGAGTTATAAAGTGATTTTTTATCAAAGTACATTAAATGCATGTATGGAAGTATCCCAATGGAATGCCTTTCTAAAATAATTATATGCTAATGAAAGAAATGAGGATTAAAAAGGGCAATAGGCCTTGAAAAACACACATGATTCAATAGCTGCAGGCAGGAATATAGATTTAGAAATCAGTAAGTTTAGTTTTTGTTTTTACTGCTGTTTCTCAATCTTCCTCTTCCCATTTCTTGGGGTTTTATATTAGGGAGACCAACGGTCATACATGATGTTGGACAAATGACATCTCATTAGAGTATGTTTTCTCCAATCTTTCCCTCTAAGGGATCCAGAAGGAAAGGGAGGGGCCGTGAGACAGGAGAGGAGAAACTCCTGAGAGCTTGGGGGACAGGGGTGAATCATACAGTCAGCATAAGCTGAGGGAATGGAGATGGAAAAGGTGTGGATCAAGCCAAGGTGCTCTAGGGTGCTACCCACCTGCTTTTCTTGAGAGCCAACAATGGAACAGCAATGCGCCAGCAGCCAGGACCACCATGCTGAGCAGCATCCCAGTGAGTCCTGCAGCCACAGAACCACTTCTATCTCCGGTCAACCCTGAGGGGAGACTCCATACATAAACCCAAGGGAGAAACTGTGGTCTTGAACTGCCCTGAGTCCTAAAGCTGAGTAGGGAAGGAGAGAAAAGGGGGTAGGAGAAGGGGGAAAGGCAGAGGGAGAGGTGTGTGTGTGTGTGTGTGTGTGTGTGTGTGTGTGTGTGTGTGTGTGTGTGTGTGTGTGACAGAGAGAGAGAGAGAGAGAGTAGGGGGGAAAGGGGGAGAGGGGAGAGGAGAGAGACTAGTCTCAGCAGGAGCTGTGTGCACAGTAAATGGCTCCTATCTGTGTGAAGAAGCTTGTCTGTATGTCTGAGGCAGGGTTGAGAGTCAAGATGGATGGCAGCCAGTGAGAAGCAAGCATCTGATGAGCTCTAATCTCGGGGATGCTCTGTGCCATGTTTCCCACCCCACAACATTGCAGAAACACTTTACTACAACAGTATAGAGAGCTACTCGCTCTGTCTACTTGTCCCTGAGAACACTGTCCTGGATAAGCATGATGAAGATTACCAGTGTTCTTAAAGAAAATATGTGGTTCCTATCTGTGGCTTAGGCGTATTAGGAAACATACCTGTGACAAAAAGTGTCACCTTGTCACTCTGTTGAGCCCACAGGCGGTTATTGGCCTCACAGGAGTAGTTTCCAGAATGTTCTCTAGTCACAGAAAAGTTGAAGAACGCTCCTCCACCAAAAGGGGCTGAGCTATTCCCCAGGGTGATATTCTCATAATAAAACTGGTACAGGATGGGGGGCGAACCGCTCAGGGCCTCGCAGAGAAGCTCCACCACGTCTCCCACCACAACTTGGGCCTTGGGTGCCCGGAGGGTGAGGACGGGGCGGGACACTGGAACTGAGAGAGAGAGAGAAAAAAAAAAGGAGAAAACTTTAATGGTGGTCTGCTTCTAACGTATTTATAAGGAAGAAAAAATACTACAAGCAAATGAAATAAGTCAGCTTTCAATCCTGGAAAATGGTTGAAAACACATATGGTAGATAAAACGAATCTCTTCGACCTTCAAAAAGCTTTTCATGTATAGCAATATTCAATGGAAGAGTTTAAAAAAGTATATATGAATCACTAAGAACTTCCAGTAGTCCATAAATATATAAAAGAAGTTTCAACCCCATGATTAATTAAATAAGTATAAATGATCACAACTGTAAAATGTCATTCCTTTTCCTTTTCACCAGTTTGGCACTGGTTACACTGGTGAGGTTGTACATAAACTCCTAGGTGGGAATGCAAATTGAAGACACTTATATAATATAGTAATTTGATGATATATACCTAATTTATAAAAGATACAAACTTGGACCCCCCAACCAACTCAATACCATATCCTTTTGGGATATGGACAAAAGGTAGGCCAACATAGGTTTACAGAGAACATGTGGAGATGCAGCTTGGAATCTCAGCACTAAGAGAAGTCAATTCTGAACTCAAGTCACCTCTTAGATGCAGGGATGGCTGCAGCAATCAATTGAGTAGGTTGGGTCTTGAGCTAGCACTCCCTAAACACCTTGCTCATTTAATTTTGTCTCTATGACTTATGGCATCCAGGGAATCAACCAAGAGGAGCCAATATTCCTACCCTGTATTTTGCTTTGTGTGACTCAGAGGTGTTTGCATCCAATGCATGGTCTCCTATTTCTGGGATGTTTTCCAGGGGCAGGAAGAATCAGCTTTTACCTTTGCATACATCCCTTAGTTGAGTCTGCACACTCCATATTCCCTGTCTATAAAACTCATGGACTTCTAGGTCAAGAGATGACCAGGATTTTTCTATGTAGTGTGATTTTCCCACTTTGTGGATGAAGAAATTGAAGTCAATCTCGGCCCTCTTCACCTGTGCCTCTGCCTTTGAAGATCACCGAGTGTCTCTCATTATATCTGTGCCTATAGCTAGTACTAATATACTTTTAAAATATGGTATGTAAGTAACAGTTATTTCCCAGTAATGGAGGATGTTTATGAGTAGAGGCTTACTCAGAGCCTGACAAGGAAGAGCCTGCTATTCAGGGAGCAGAACATCTAATATTTATACATTCTCTGGTTTCTTTTTTATGTCATAATTTTCACATCAGAAAATAGTCTATATCCTAAAAAAAATTCTTATTATTTTTACTGAGGAATTTTGATCAGAACTCAAAGTTGTTTGAACAATGCTACTGGGAAAGTCCAGGTTCCTGAAAGAGTTTAACAGGTAAGACCCTGCACTTTCCAGAAGAGGCTCTATAGCCAGGACTAAGCAGGATCTTCATTCCAGAAAGCAGCTCCGAGGAGCACTGCCGCTTCATTCTCAGCTATTAGGAAGAAAAGACACCATCAATCTGCTGCTGCTTCTACTAGCACGCGGAGCCAACTCACCTATAACTTTGATGCTCACTGCCTCACTCTGCTGGGCTCCAGCAACATTACTGGCCTCACAAAAATAGTTTCCAGAATGTTCCTCAGTCAGAAAGAGGTTGAAGGATGCTCCTCCTCCAGAGAGGGCTGAGCTGTTTCCCAGGTTGACGTTCTCATGGTAAAATTGGTATTGGATTGGAGGTGAGCCTGTCAGCGCCTCACAGTGAAACTCCACCGTGTCCCCCACCACAGCCTGCGTCCTGGGCATCCTGAGCGTGAGACCAGGGTGGGACACCGGAACTAAGGGAGGAAAGACAGCCATCAGCTCCTTCTGTTTGAAGGTGTTTTTCCACACTAAAGACACTTCTAATGGGAGATGCTTTTCTTAGTTTGTAATATCTTGTGATACTATTTAGAACGCATCTATGATTTCTTCATAGAAATATTGGGAAAGGAGAATATTTATGTAGTTATATATATATATACATATATGTATATACATACATATATACATACATATATGTAGCTTGGAGTAATTAGATATATAAATTCAAATTCAAATTCAAAACATGGGTTACACTGAAACTGAGGCATTTGACAGAAAGAGAGGTTGCTTCCATAGGAAATGAGGGACCGAAGAGAGCTATTGTTTATTTAGCCATGGGTGTAAGTAAGTTAGAAATGGGGTCCACATGAGAATTGAGTATTGGTCACTATATGTGCTTGTTTTCATGTTCATTCACTTAAAATTAACAAGTAAACAATAAGTTCCAATAACTGATCTGAATGTTGGGAATTCAGTGATCAGAAAGACATAGGCCCTGTTCTTATGGAATCTAACATCCTAAGAAAAGGTAGACAGCAATTGAATAAGAACACAAAAATAGAATTAGATAGATAATTGCTACAAAATAAAGACAGGGTGCTATGAAATGTATAACACTGGGAACTGATCTAAGAGGGATTAATCAGGAGAAGCATCTTCATGAAGTGACATTTAAAATTAACTATGTGAAGAGGAAAGGGAAGAGGCTGGCAGGCAGGCAAGCAATATGTGCAAAGCCCCAGTTGAGAAGAATTTGGACACATTTTGAGTTATTGGAATGACATGGCAGCAGTAATATAAGAAAAGTGTCCAGCAGGGCGCTGGTGATTAACACCTGTAATCCTAGCTACTCAGGAGGCTGAGATCTGAGGACCTCGGTTCAAAGCCAGCCCGGGCAGGAAAGACTGTGAGACTCCTATCTCCAATAAACTACCAGAAAACCAGAAGTGGCACTGTCACTCAAGTGGTAGAGCGCTAGCCTTGAGCTGAAGAGCTGAGGGACAGTGCCCAGCCCAGAGCTTGAGCCCCACGACTGACCAAAAAAAAAAGAAAGAAAGAAAGAAAGAAAGAAAGAAAGAAAGAAGGAAAGAAAGAAAGAGAGAAAGAAAGAAAAGTGTACAAAGAGTGCCAGGCTGGAGAGCTAGGCAGAGCTGTGTAAAGTAGGCTGCGTGTTTTATCCTTTTCCATTAAGTAATGGAAAGACCATTTTGATCTCAGCAAAACCCTTCTCTGGCAGGGACAGAAGTAGGATAGATGGGTATTTAGGTGACATCAAAATAGTTAAAAATGATAGTGGATTTGACTAGGATAATAACAATAGAGATAGAAAAAAGATCTAGAAATGTTTAGGAAGTAAAATCAGTAGGACTGGCTATGAGCAGTGAGGGAGAAAGATGTCAATGGATGCACTTGGATTTTTGAGTGTATATTTAGCTGGATAGAGGGATCTTTCACAGAGACAGGGTCACTTGGGAAAGACAGGACTGAGAGAAAGGTCAAGAGTCACATATGACAGATATTTAGGTTGATGAGTTTTTTTTTTAATTTTTTTTTGGGGGGGGGGGTAGGTCGGTCATGGGGCCTGAACTCTGGGCCTGGGCGCTGTCCCTCAGCTCTTCAGCTCAAGGCCAGCACTCTACCACTTGAGCCACAGTGCCACTTCCTTTTCTTGTTTGCTTATGTGGTACTGAGGAATTGAACCTTGGGCCTCGTGCATGCAAGGCAAGCGCTCTACCACTGAGCCACCTTCCCAGCCCATGACGAGGTTTTGAGAAATGTGAGTGGCATGCCCAGGTGCTCAGGTGGGAATCATTAGAGATGACAGCACCTTTTATATATGATATACACAGGATCAAAGCTCTGGAACATGCCAGTGCTTAAAGGCAATCTGTAAAAGGAGTATCTAGTAAAGACCGAGAGAGTTGTCAGAAGAGAGAAAAGCTGGAAGTGATAGAGTCACTGAAGCCAAGGAAAGGACAGTTTTACAAAAGAAGGAATGATTTTGTTTTGTTTTGTTGGCTGTGGGGTCTGGGCACTGTCCCTGAGCTCTTCAGCTCAAGGCTAGTGCTCTACCACTTGAGCCACAGCGCCACTTCCGGCTTTTTTTTCCCTGCTTATGTAGTGCTGAGGAATCAAACCCAGGGCCTCATGCATGTGAGGCAAGTGCTCTACCACTGAGCTACCTTCCCAGCCCAGAAGGAATGATTTTTTTTTAAAAGTAATACTTTGGAGAAATTAAGTAAGGCAAGGATTGGAAACTAGCCATTAGATCTAAATACACTGGGAATTGTTGATGACCATTGTGAGATCATTTTGATGGAGAGGCCAGAAGACCCTAATAGATTAGAACCTAGTACGTAATGAGGAAATGGGGACAACCTGGGTGACAGACTCTGTTCAGAAGTTTAGTTATGAGACAGGAGTGGGTGGAGCCAAAGGAAGATGCAAGTTGCTCAGTGAGATGAGGATCAAATTACGTTTTTTTTCTACTAGTCATAGAAGAAATGCAGCATGTTAAATGCCAATGAAGTGGTGTTACAAGTAGGGATATGTTGAGAACTATAGAATAGAAAGAGTGTAATTATTTTCTGAGAATGGCTGGGGGCATCGCTCAAGTGATGGAATACTTGCCTAGCATAAGCATGAGACCCTGTCTATATTGCCAGTTCCTGAGGATTCAGGAAAAAATGGAATGTAGAGATTAGATGATCTGAGATATGCCCTGACACAGGGAACAGAATCCTCTTCTCTGAACCTTAGGAAGAGGAAGGTTGGTTTATTAGGTAGATACAGAGATACTGAATTTGGTGTTGGGAATCAGTGTGGTATTGTTTGTTTTGTCTGTTGAATTAGGGACAGAATGGAGGTGTTAGTGAACTAGAGGTTCCATTGAGGTAGAAGAACAATAGTGATAGGAGTGTTAAACTAAATTGAAAGGTAAGAAGTTGTAATCAGAAAACAAGTGCTTATAATGGAGCTGTGGGAGTATGTAGGAATGTATATGGAGAAGTGGGGGTTGGGTCACACAAATGGACACTGCAGTCATACGATGGTGACAGAATGTGGAGCAGAAAGGAAGGTTTGAGTGAGGTGCTGAAGCCTGCATTGGTAGTGGGCACTGCTGAGTGGTCAGACTGTGAACAGAGGGACACAGTAATACTGGTAAACAGTAAGAAAGCAAGAGAATGAGGTTGGGACATAAATAGTCCTCAGGGGAAATCCAGGCCTCTCCGGCAGAAGGAGAAATATGTGAGCCAGTAAAGGAATGTATTGGCCTTTATATTGATAGAAAACTACAGATAAATCTCTTCTGAACTGAAACACACTGAATGTCCTGTCTTTCTTTCTTTCTTTCTTTCTTCCTTTCTTCCTTTTTGGTCAGTCATAGAACTTGACTCAGGGTCTGAGCTTTTATTTTTTTGGGTATGATCGTGGGCCCTGAACTCTGGGCCTGGGCACTGTCCCTCAGCTCTTCAGCTCAAGGCTAGTGCTCTACCACTTGAGCCACAGCGCCACTTCTGGCTTTTTCCTTTTTGCTTATGTGGTGCTGAGGAATCGAACCCAGGGCCTCATGCATGCAAGGCAAGCGCTCTACCACTGAGCCACCTTCCCAGCCCGTGGGTCTGAGCTTTTTCGCTCAATGCTAGTGCTCTACCACTTTGAGCCATGGGGCCACTTCTAGTTTTCTGGTGATTAATTGGAGATAAGAGTTTTATGGACTTTCCTGCCCAGGCTGGCTTTGAACCATAATCCTCTGATCTTAGCCTCCTGAGTATCTAGGATGACAGATGTGAGCCACTGGTGCCCGGCTTTCATTTCTTATTGATCACAAATCACCAGAATATAGTTTGTACTTTGAAAAGACTCCTCTGTTAGGGGATTTGAAGCTGAAATGGCTGAAGGGTGCAGCTAACAAAGGCAAGCTGCCATTGCAGCATGTAAAACTGGACTCCATAGGGAGGCTGCGCAGGCAGCAGGCCTGCGATGTGGTACAGCCGACAGCTCCTGAGAGCCTGAGCTGCAGCCCTTCCAACTGCAGGGGGTGAGGGCTGCTCTGGCCCTTGTGCTGCACATACCGATGACATTGAGTGTTATTGTGACACTGCGCTGGGCCTCCTGGCCATTGTTAGCTTCACAGAAGTAATTTCCAGAATGTTCTGCAGTCAAGGAGAGGTTGAAGGATGCTCCTCCTCCAGAAGGGGCTGTGTGTCTCCCCAGGATTATGTTCTCATGGTAAAACTGGTACAGGATGGGGGGAGAGCCTCTCGGGGCCTCACAGTGAAGCTCAATCGTGTCCCCTACCACTGCCTGGGTCCTAGGAGTCCTGAGGGTGAGAGTAGGCCGGGACACCGGAACTGAGGAAAGAAATGGGTTAGTTGACACTGGTGTTATGTTGTTTTTAATCAAAAACAGCTCCTACTTCAAAAAGAACTAAACACTAAAGAATTTTATAGGATAAAAATGAAAAATTCTACCATTTCTCTTATTTTTGTTTTCCAGAAGTTGCCTCTATTAGACATTTGGTCTTCTCCACCTGCAGTGTGTATGTGTGAGTGTGTGTGTGTGTGTGTGTGTGTGTGTGTGTGTCTTATTCATACCTTTTAAGTTTGAAGTGTAATAGCCTCATTATCATTTATCTTTTGATGTACATATTCAAGTTTAAGACATTTTTAAAATTCTTTGAGTTTTGTTTTGTCTTCAGTTTGGTTTTTTCTTTTTTCTTTCTTTTTCTTTTTGTCAGTCATGGGGCTTGAACTTGGGGCTTGGGTGCTGTCCCTGAGCTCTTTTCTGCTCAAGGCTAGTGCTGTACCTCTTTGAGCCACAGTGCCACTTCAGGTATTCTGGTGGTTAATTGGAGATAAGAGACTCATGGACATTCCTGATGGGGCTGGCTTTAAACTGCAATCCTTAGATCTCAGCCTCCTGAGTAACTAGGGTTATAGGTGTGAACCACTAGTGCCTGGCTTTAGTTTGGTTTTCTGACTTAACTCTAACTATATATCTTGTATGTGGGTAAGAAACACTTAACTCCACCTATGGTATATATATTATCTAGTGCCCATATTACACTTTTTGCAATTATTTCTGTATTTTCGGTTTGCATTTTGTACTTCTCAGACTGATTCTTCATTTAGTTGACAGTGCAAATAGGTTTCTTACTTTTTAAACTTAGATTTTAGTCTGAAATAGCTTTGCTATTCATTTCTCCTAAGTTCTGCCAGATCATTTGTGTGATCTCTTATTATATTGTCATATCTTCTTTGATCCCTGTTAACTCATTTTTAATATTTAAACTTACTTCAATTGTATTGAGAATATTTAGAAGTGTTTTCATTTTCTATAGAAATTCTTCCTCACAAAAGTGTTATGTGTTCTTCATATGTGTACATATAGATTTGCTTTTAATTTACACACAAGCACACACATATACAATATGGTATAGTATAATATTTCAATGTATTTATAGGATGTGTAATGTTCACATCAGGGTAGTTGTTTTATTCATTGATCATTTCTTTGTCTTGGGAACATTTCAAGTTCTGTCTATGAATTGTGTTAATCTTTGCTATCCTGTTGATGTGCTATATGACATTTGTCCTATTTCCTTGCACCTCTGTTCCCATTAACTACCTGGCTCCATCCCCTGCACCTAGCTTCTAGTAACTACAATTCTGGTCTCTAATTTATGAGATCAACTAATTTATCTTCCACATATAAATTATAACATGAAGTATTTGTCTTTCTGTGCTTGACTTATTTCACTAATGTAATGTCCTCAATTTGTCTTATTTTAAAAATGGGATCCTATCAAATTATAAGACTTCTGTTCAGCAAAGAAAACAATAAACAGAATGAAGAGACAATGTGTGGAACAAAAGATATCTGCAAAGGACTCATCTGACAAGGGATTGATATACAAAGTAGACAAGGATCTCAAACAGCTCAACACTCAAAAATAAACAACTCAATCAAAACTGGGGAAATAATCTGAGTAGCCTTTCTATTTCAAAAGGATGATGTACAAATAGCCAAAAAGTATATAAAAATGCTCATGAATCATTAACAAAATGCAAATCAAACCACAACACAATATCTCAGCTCAGTTAAAATGGTGATTATACATATATACAGGAGCTGGCAAAGATACAGAAAAAAGGAAATTCTCATACACTCTTGGTAGAATGTAAATTAGTGTAGTCATTATGGAAAGTGAAGTAGAGGCTCAAGAAAAACTAAGAATAGAACTCCAATATGATGTAGCTAGCCCACTTCTACATGTGCGTCAAAAGGAAAGGAAGTTGGTATGGCAAAGAGACTTCCCTTTACAATTTTAAATGAAGACATGCAAAGATTATTACAGTGAACACAGTGTTTTGCTTTCCACTTATCCTGCAATAAATGAAGTTATAATTCAGGGTCTGATATTTGCTGTTGGAATAGTGTGTGTGTGCAATGTGTTCAGGAACCACAGGACTGTCAATAGACCTGAAATCAATCTGTGTCCTTGGATTGGGCTCCAGTCTTTCAAATAATGCAGATTTTTCTGCCAGAAAGTCTGTCTGACTCACAGTAAAAGTTTCCAGTTCATAGACAACTTGTTTGCTAAAGTTTGTAAGTTCTGGTCAGTTGATATAAGAAGGTGCAAAGATCACTGTTTTCTCTCACTCTTCGTGTCTCATCTCACCTCAGCCTCTTTTTGTTCATTGAATTACAGATGCTGACTGAGCTCCTGCTTTATGTCATGCACAGGGATGTAGGGAGACCTAGACTGGGACTGTCTTGTTTTCACAGTTTGCTGACAGAAAAGAAAACAGAAGTAAAGGGGTTGTAGATACCGTTAAGTGCCAGAAGATAATAAAACATTAAAGGGTGCATTGCGCTTGAGAGCTCTGACTTTAAAGTCTTTTGGGTGTTTTGAGAATACATTATATTCTGGGGGTATCTTTTAATTCTTCAATCTGGCTTCCAAACAATCCTTCCTATTTTTCTTTCTCCCTGGATAGTCTTCTAACAAAGTCTTACCTACAGCATCACCTGAGCCTGTATTCTTGTGATGGGAAATAGTCTGACATGCCAGACTTGAGATTTCTTTTTTAAACTGTAACTATCCCGTTACTCTGAAAAGGAACAGGATATTATTCTCTTACAACAAAGGTTCTAGTGTGAACAGAAGCAATCTGGCTCCTCAATTGGCACCTTGGTGATAGTTACACTGGTAACCAGGAGTTATACAATTAGGATTTGTATTCTTTTCTGAATCTATGCCATACTTCTAAAAATGTTCAGTACATTATAATGCAGACTTGCCCCTTTATTACAACTTGGCACAATTAACTCATGCTAATAAAAAAAAGAAAAAAACAACTAAAAGAATAATGAAAACATGGAAACAACCTATATAGCTATCAAGAGTAGACTTATAAAGTAGATTAAAATATGTGGGTAAGGTGACGTATACTGCACGGCCATTCCATGAGTGAATATGTGTCGACACCTGCATGTTCACCAACCTGGAAAGCTGTGCACAGCACATGATGAAAAGCAAAATAGTAGGTAGAGAATCACAGCACACGCATCAAACAGTCAACATCCCCACACTATGAAAACTATGTAGAGACCTGCTTGGAAGAAAGTTCATCCAAGGGTCATTGACCAACATCAAGTACTGGCCAGAACCCAGAGCTTACCAATGACAAAGAGGCTCACAGCCTTACTGTACTGGAGCCTCAGATGGTTTCTGGCTGTGCAGTAGTACTTTCCAGAATGCTCTGTGGTCAGAGGGAAGCTGAGGGATGCTCCTCCTATAGAGGAGGTTGTGCTGCTCCCCAGGGGGACATTCTCATGATAGAACTGATACCAGATGGGTGGAGAGCCTCTCTGGGCTTCACAGCGCAGTGTTGCCATGTCTCCCTCCAGAGCTTTGGCTCTAGCGGTGCTGAGGGTGAGGACAGGCAGAGACACAGGAACTGAGGGAAAGAAAATCTGTAGATTTCTGTAGATTTCCATTTGTGGTCAGTGCAAAGCTCCTGTCTCCCCTGGTTGTGAGGGCAGCCTGGCAACCTCCTCAGCATCTCCAACAGCTCTAACCTGCCCCTATCTTGCTGCTCTTTTCTAACCTGATCCTTTCCCTTCAGACTTCTAGCTCCTTTCCTCCAGAGGCTCCTTGTTGAGGTGACACCTCCATTTGGCAGAGGAGAGGACTTCCTCAGGGGAGACATCACGTGTTTTGCTGCCACCAGATTCATGTTTTCCTCCATCAGCTCTTTCCTCTTTCTCCCTTGACCGACCATTGTGGGAAAACCCTCCCCACCCTACCCTTCCTTCCCACCATTTTGAACTTCCTTTTCAGCCTCTTGTTCTCTATTTCTCTTTTACTGTGGCTGGCCTGCGGGCTCTGTCCTTAACCCACATAGTCTTGCAAGGACCTCTTTTCTACTTCTGAGTTCTCCCTGAGCCCACACTCACTCTCGCATTTCCATGTAAGAAGAGGAAGAGGAAGTCAGGGAGGGAGTAGATGGTGCCTGTAGTCCAAGGAGAGCACACAACTGATCCTGGGGAGGGCTTTGGTGGTCAGAGCTCATTTCTAATGGATTGTGCCCACGGCCCCTTCCAGACCTAACTCTTCCCTTCTTGTCTTTGGCAGATGATTCAGAACATTGAATTACTGGTGACTCATTGGGTCTTTATATTTAATGTGAATTTCTCACTACCTGTGGTCTTCCTTAAGGATCCTCAGGTGTGGTTTGATAACTGATTCTTTGAGTGACACCTGGCACTTTGGTCACTGGATTGCTGGCAACGTTGTTGGCTTCCCGGGAATATACCCGAGCATTGTTACTTCTCACCATGGACCTCCTCAACTTTGCTTTTGAGGACAAGTACATCTTTGTTCATGTTGCTTGCCTCTTTTGTACCAGACTTTGCTGAGCCTTGGGACCCCTTCTACGGAACAGAAGAACACCAATTCCTGCCCTTCAAACACCAACTCTAGGGCTAGAAATATGTGTATTTGGATGTTGGCCAGAACTCCTAAATAAAGAAAAATGACACACATGGGACTCTTAACAGTGAGTGGCTTTGTGGATGGAAAAGAGCCAGAGGGTAAAATCTGCTGATCTCCTGTGGGAAGCTGGCCTGGGGTAGATTTAGGCTTACTCTCTGAAGAAGGAGGAAGGTGGGGAAACTTCAGCCCATAGCTGTCTGGGAGGTCCCCCGACTCCTTCTAGGGCTTGTAAAGAGTCTAGCCAGGAGTAGAAGCAACCCTGCCCAGCCTGCCCTCATATCCACTCCTCCTCGACAGAGCAAGATCAGCCATTGCAAAGATGTTACCAGCTGCCCCAAAGTTGGGGCATATGGGGGTATGAAGTGGACAGGAAGATTTGGCATCAGGGGAAAATAGCAACTGCACTGTCTAATTAGAAATGAGACATTGACATGAAGAGTAACCTCACCCTAGAGCAAACAATTTTTTAAAAACCAGGGCTTCACGGGGCTGGGAAGGTGGCTCAGTGGTAGAGCGCTTGCCTTGCATGCATGAAGCCCTGGGTTTGATTCCTCAGCACCACATAAGCAAAAAGAAAAAAAGCCAGAAGTGGCACTGTGGCTCAGGTGGCAGAGTGCTAGCCTTGAGCTGAAGAGCTGAGGGACAGCGCCTAGGACCAGAGTTCAGGCCCCACGACTGGACCCCCCCCCAAAAAAAAACAAAACAAAAAACCCCCAAAAAACTAGGGCTTCAATTCAAGACCTTGTAAGGTCCGCCCCTGGATGGCTAGCAGACTCCACCCTCCTCGCAGCAAAGTCTCCACCCAGTACCTGCGTTACCTAGGCAACTGGGACACCTGGAAGAGGTCACATCTGCATCCGCTGAGGTCACATCTGAATTTGATGTGGCCACACCTTTCCCCGCCCATACCCTACATAAGGCCTAGCCCAGGCCCAGACTCTCTCTCTTTCTCTCTCTGTTCGTTTCTAGCTCTTGCTCTTCTTTTCTAGCTCTCTCTGCTCTCTCTCTGCTCTAGCTCTTTCCTCTCTCTTTCCCAGCCACGTGGAGTGCCAACCTTGCCTGGTCCCAGCAGGTCCACTGAATAAACCTACCCCTTACCCGAATACCACGTGAGTGCTACTGTTCTTACCCCTCTCTCTGCTCTTTTCTAGCTCTTTCCTCTCTTTCCCAGCTCTCTCCTTCCCAGGCCTTTCCCAGCCACGTGGAGTGCCAACCTTGCCTGGTCCCAGCAGGTCTACTGAATAAACCTACCCCTTACCTGAATACCACGTGCGTGCTGGTGCAGTTTTTACTCGGTTACCTCTTTTTAAAAACCTAACATAAATGGTGCCGTGACTCGGATAAAGGCTGAAAGTCAGGAAAGCTGGGATTTCTCTGTTTTTTTTTCCTCTTTTTTCTTTTTTTGTTCTTCCCTTTTTGCTCTGAGGAATACCCACAGTTCTGACGGCCTTTTGCTTTTGCGAACCAGTCTGTCTGCGGCGGAATCAGCGCATCGATACCATTGCTGCCTTCACATCCACGTCCACACCACTTCTCTACTCTGGTGAGTGAAACTACTCTACGGCTCTCTGTTACTCAGTCTCTGTCCAGACGTGGTGCCACGCCAGAGAGCTCCTATGGCCTTTAGCTGAAAGGCCGGTCACCTCAGAAGCCGAGGATGCTTGGTTTTGGGGGCTTGGCCATTTCTCTCTAGAGGGCTCTGGGGGAAGTCGGGACGCCGCTTCTGCCTGGTCAGCTCTCCTTCACTCACCAGACTGACTCTCCTACTCATTTAATGGGGTGCTACGAATCACGCCTGAGCCGTGAAACCCCTTTGAAATGCCTCCTGCGTTCCCTGGAAAGCCAGAGAGCCTAATTTTATGCCATTCTCAGAAGTACAGTTTTTGCTACTGCAATGGTAAATGGTCAGAAGTTTGTTTAATTTCAGGCTCTCTTTGCTCTCTCTCTGCCATTCATGTGCAACTTTCTACCCTTTTTTCTACAACTTTTTGGCTTATGCCCTGAAGAGTGCGACGCAGGCTGGGTCCCAGGGACCCCCTTCTAGGTTCCCTCTCAAAGGCTAGCCAATGTAGGCTTAATCTATTCAGGCTTTCTTTGCATTCTTTCAGAAATTCGCCATCTTGGCCACGTGGTGGGTTAAGGGTTTGGCCCCATCTGACCCTTAACCTTCCACTAAGTTTACTACTCCATCTATTCTAAGGTGCCTTGCTAACAAGTTGCTCTTTTCACAGGCCCTGGTAATGGAGGCCCAACCAGCTGATATGCTTTGTTAGCAAAGATGTCTAAACGTTGTCGAAATTTTAGGTTTTAAGTTTTGCCTTTTTTGTTTTGTGTTGTGTATTCTACTACTAGACTACTGACTATGTGGTTCTAAAATACTGGGTATATCTGTGCTAAAATTCTCATCACATCTAATGAGTTTCATCATTTCAGAATATTTGTTGGCAATTCTTGATAAGAACCAGGTAAGCTCTACTTATTCTACTTGATCTCCTTGTTGCCTTAATTGGAAATAATAAAGGGCTTTTGTGGCAAAGATTTCAGTTCAAAGCCAGCTCGGGCTAAAAAATCTCTAAGACTCCGTCTCCCAGCTGAACTCTGCAAGTGGTACTATAACTCAAAGTGGTTCATTGCTAGCCTTGAGCAGAAGTGCTCAGGGACAGTGCCCAGGCCTTGAGTTCAAACCTCCTTGAACACTGGAAGTGCTATTGTAACTCAATGTGGTAGAGTGCTAGCCTTGAGCAGAAGTGCTCAGGGACAGTGCCCAGGCCTTGAGTTCAAATCTTGAATACCAACTGGGACAAGCCATCCCTGCAACGAGCACCTAGACTCAAGCCAGTCTGGGGAACAAGGGAACGTGGAAAGGAGTAAGAGGAGATGATGTCACATCAGCTACTTTGTGCCTGCCCTTTCAAAATTAACCTGAGCCGGGAGGTCAGTAGAAGTAAGAAGCCTGCCCATCCAATGTCCATACCTGTCTACCTATTAATGGAACAGGAATTTATATTCTTGCCTTTGTCACCTGACTTCTCTACCTAGTCGCCAGATGTCAGAAGTATCTAGGGACATTTCTACCAACATTTTCAGCCCCAAGTCCTTCCTCTTGCCATTTATTTGCTGTCTAGTATTTTTTTTTCCAGCCCCTCAATGCTCATGAGACTTCTCCAGATTTCATCTAAGGACTCACGCCACCAAGGGACAGCTGCTGCTCACTGTCTTCTCTGGGAGGGGACCAAATTCCAGCCTTTTACCCCTATTGTCGATGCTCTTTTCAGCAGGAAGTAGCCAGAGAGAATCCGTGCCCTATTTCATGATTATTAAAAGGCTGGAATGTAAGGTCTGCCCCTGGATGGCAAGCAGACTCCACCCTCCTCGCAGCAAAGTCTCCACCCAGTACCTGCGTTACCTAGGCAACTGAGACACCTGGAAGAGGTCACATCTGCATCTGCTGAGGTCACATCTGAATTTGATGTGGCCACACCTTTCCCCGCCCATACCCTACATAAGGCCTAGCCCAGGCCCAGACTCTCTCTCTTTCTCTCTCTGTTCGTTTCTAGCTCTTGCTCTTCTTTTCTAGCTCTCTCTGCTCTCTCTCTGCTCTAGCTCTTTCCTCTCTCTTTCCCAGCCACATGGAGTGCCAACCTTGCCTGGTCCCAGCAGGTCCACTGAATAAACCTACCCCTTACCCGAATACCACGTGAGTGCTACTGTTCTTACCCCTCTCTCTGCTCTTTTCTAGCTCTTTCCTCTCTTTCCCAGCTCTCTCCTTCCCAGGCCTTTCCCAGCCATGTGGAGTGCCAACCTTGCCTGGTCCCAGCAGGTCTACTGAATAAACCTACCCCTTACCTGAATACCACGTGCGTGCTGGTGCAGTTTTTACTCGGTTACCTCTTTTTAAAAACCTAACAGACCTCACACTTGCTAGGTAGGCACTCTACCCCTTGAGTCAAGTCCCGAACCCTTTCTGTTTTAGTTATTTTTCAGATAGGTTTTTTTTCCCCCCCCAGGCCAGCCTGGCCCACAATGACCCAACTTACACCTTTCATACAGATGGGTTTACAAGACAGTTCCATTATGATCAACGTTTTGTTTTTGTCAAAATGAGATCTGGCTAACTTTGTTTTGCTAGATCTGACCTAAAACTTCCCAATCTCTATCTCTTGAGTAATGGGGATTACAGGCATGAGCATTGTACCTGGCTCTTGAACAGCATTTCTTCTGTAGCATGATCAAAAGAGATGAGGTCAGATCATCCCCATTAAGTAGGGTAATCCGTGATGGGTATGATTTCAGGTAATGATGACAAAGACAGTGTCTTTGGGGTTATTCTCAGGTCTTAAGGACAAAGGATATAAACTGAACAGAGAAGGAGAAGGGGCAATGGGTGGAGTTTCATCAACTGTGCTGAGGAAGAGGCTATGCTAGAAATTGTTGTGTACTAATCATTGGAAACTTGCTGCCCACCTTGTGTGAATGTTCTTCCTTAAACCAGTGACCTTAAAAACATCTGTTTCCAGCCAAGAACCAGTGGATCATGCTTGTAATCCTAGCTACTCAGGAGGCTGAGATCTGAGGATTAATTAACCACCCCAAAACTGAAAGTAGAGGTGTAGCTCAAGTGGTAGAGCACCGGCCTTGATTTAAAAAGCTAAGGGAGAACACAAGGCCCTGAGTTCAAGTCTCAGTACCTGTATAAGAAAACAAACACCCTACATCTGTTTCCTTTAACAGATTACTATGCTGTGTTTTTTTTTAAACTTTAGGAATAGGAATACATTTATGGGAAATGCAATCACCTTCAGCATTTCCTCCTCACTTAGGAAAGTGGATATCTCAAACTATGTGCCCCTTTCTAATGCTCAAATAGATTTCCTGGGAAGACCAAATTAAATCAGGTAGAGCCTTTGGCCATTGGTTAACAATCTTGCTTAAGAGCTTACACAATTTTAGGAACTTAGGAAAAAGCAATATCCCTGTGAGGCATTTATTCATTCCCCCAGCTGTTTGTCCTTTAGTTTTTTCTTGTCTTTAAGACTTGATGTGTATCTCCACAATCCCCCTTTCCCTGTCCCCCGACATACAAATCTCAGTACTCACTTTGCACAGGAATTTGGAATGGACGGCTGGTTTTCCAAATATTGGAAGTCCCTGCCTTGCATATGTAAGACGTTGAATCTTCTTTCCTTATGGCAGGAATGTGATACTCTGGGTCTCGTCTGCAGACTTGCCTAGAAATCAGGTCATCTTTCAAGAAGCAGAACTTGAGCTGGACATTTGATTTTTGTGGCGAGAGCTGGGTGTCACAGATGAGGTCCACTGGGCTTCCATCTATGGGCTGGGAAGGTCTAGCAAGTAGCACAGGACGCGGAAACAGTTCTAGGGGAAGAATCACAACAGTTCCCACAGCAATGAAGCTCAGAAAGGTTCTGGAAAAACCACAGTTTACCCTCAGCACCAGCAAGCAGAGTTATGGTACCACATTCTCCAAAAAACCAGGCAAGAAAGGGATGCCATTTATTTTATTTTTCATTTTGGCCAGTACTGGGGCTTAAATTTAAGGCCTGGGAGCTGTCCCTTAGCTTTTATGCTCAACGATAGAGCTCTATCACTTGAGCAATAGCTCCACTTCTGACATTTGGGCAGTTAGTTGGAGATAAGAGTCTCATGGACTTTCCTACTTAGGTTGGCTTTGAGCTTTGATCCTCAGATCTCAGCTTCTAGGATTATAATAGCTAGGATTACAGGCCTGAACCACCAAGGCCCAGGCAAGGGACACCACTTCTTGTTTCTGACATCCTTCAGTAGAAAGCTGCTGCACTTCTTTCTAGTGTCCCAGTCTACCATATTCTTCCTGTCCTATCTCTACAACCTCATGTTCTATCTCTACAATGTTCCTTTTGTCTAATACCCCTCACTAAATAATGAAAGCTTTACCTTGGACTTGGATTTTGACCTTGTTGGAAGAAGCATATCTGTTTTTACAGTGATAGTCACCATTGTGCTGTAGATCTGCATTTTGAATGTGGTACTCAGCTCCTTGATGTGGTAAATGCTGGCCATTCCTGTAAAATGTTATATTACTCCTTGATGTTCGTTTCTTTTCCTGACACTTTAAAACCACAGAGTCTTTTTCAAACACCTCAAATGGAGCCTGTAGGATCAGCTGAGCTGTAGGAAACACAAGATCAAATTTGTTTCATCACATTGTTGTTTCTTATTGCTTTTCATTATTATGCCAATTAGACTTTGTGTGAGTGTGCTCACAAGTGCGTGTATGTATGTATGTGTGTATGTGAGTGCATGTGTGCAAGTACTGGGGCTTGAACTCAAGGCCTGTGAGCTGCCCCTTAGTTTTTTTCACTCAAGGCTACCACTCTACCACTTGAGCTATAGTTCCACTTTTGGCTTTTTAAAACATTTAACTTTATTATCAAGGTGATGTACAGAAGGGGTTACAGTTATATACAGAAGGTAGTGAGTATATTTCTTTTAGGACATTGTTACTCCCTTGTTTTTCTCCCACTTTCCCTCCCCAAAATCCACCCCCCTCCCTGCAAAATTCTGGCTTTTTAGTAGTTAATTGGAGATACGAGTCTCATGGACTTTCCTAGTTAGTCTGGCTTTGGACCACGGTCCTCAGATTTCAGCCCCCTGAGTAGCTAGGATTTTTGGTGTGAGCCACTGTGTCTGACTTTCAATTAGGCATTATAGGAAAGAGAATTGGGAGAAATGACTCTTATTACTTCTTTTTTTTTTTTTTTCTGTTCAAATGAACATGTACTTTGAGAAAAGTTGGAAAGCAGAAAGGTAAGTAAAAAGTACCTATTATCTCACCTCCAGTAATTTTTTTTGTTTTGTTTTTATTGGCTTTTTCTGTACAGCACTGGGCTTGAACTCAAGGCCAGGGCACTGTCCTATAACATTTTTGCTCAGGGATGTTCTCTTACTTGACCCACAACTCCACTTCTGGTGTGTGTGTTGTTGTTGTTGTTGTTGTTGTTGTTAATTGAAGATAAGATTCTCACAGACTTTGCTGTCCTGGCTGGCTTTGGACAGCAACCTCAGATCTCAGCCTCCTAAGTAGCTATGATTAATTATAAGTGTGAGCTTCTGGTTGTTCTGTAAATTTGACATATATCTTTTTTGCTTTCCTCTTTTATATGCACATATGTGAATCTTTGTGTATTCTTTTCCATTTTTAGGGAATAGGAATAACATGTATATATTAGATAGGTTACCTTTACTGACTGTGCTATAAGATTTAGGGAGGTCACTAGTTTCATTACTGACTGCTTTTCAATGGCCATGAAGTTTTCTTCAATGAAGTAACAGAGTTTATATAATAAATTTTCTTTTCTTAATCAGTTAGGGTCTTCCACATTTGGGTTATGTATAAGGGGAATTGTTAGATCAAAAAGAATAAGTAGCTGAGTACCTCCTAGCCACTTAGGAAGCTTAGATCTGAAGATTACAGTTTAAAGCCAGCCAGCAAAAGCAGAAAAGTCTGGGATACTATATTCTCCAAATAATCAACAAAGTCAGAAGTGGAGCTATGACTCAAGTGGCAGAGCACTAAGGCACTAGCCTTTAGTGCAAAAGCTAAGGGACATTTCTTAGATCCTGGGTTCAAACTCCAGCAACATCACATACCCCCCCCCCCTACACACACACTAAGCTTTTCTTCCATCTCTTTGTTACTACATTTCTCCATTGTTCATGAAATTAATGTATATTATAACAAAGATTATATTACTCAACTCTAAAAACAGGTGCTTCTATGAAAATAGAAGAAATACCTTTTCCTCTTTCTCCTTGGTATATGTATATCAATCAATCTGTCTTATACTTCTCTATAATCCATCTCTATTGCTAAATTTGAAATATTCTCATCCTATTTATTTTTCTAATTAGTAAACTGGCTTGAAATACATTTTAATGAACAGTTTTAATGAATCAGGAAGAGTTCAAATAAATTAGTTCTCAAAATTTTCTTTTTACGAGTGGCTTGTAAAAGCTTCAGATTCTTGGGCCTCTACAGATTTTGACACAGTAAATATAGGGTTGTTCCCAAGTATCTGCATAGTTAAAAAGCTGCCCAAGCTTTGTGATGCAGATGATTAGACTTGAAGGAGCACAAGAGTAGAAGGTATTAATCCTCTCTATAGAGATTATAATCCTTAGTCTCTATAGCCTTTAGCTATTATATGACCAGTATGTCCTTTTAGATATATGACTTAAAGCTATTACCCACTGGGCTGACTGAACTTCATCCAATTAATTTGTTTCCTTAATTTTTATGTTCAAACTTGAGAAGCGAATTCTGTTTCCTGTCTGATTTTATACAGAGCTTTGGAACGGCCTCCTTGTATATGGAATCACAGTATAGAATAAAACTGTTCATCCTTGTGTTGTTCAAAGTGAATAGTAGTAACAGCTACAGAGAAAATGGGCATGAAATGATTTAGAAAGTTTTTATTTCTTTTACTTCCATCTTACCATTGGAAAAGTCCAAGTGCACAGATTTACTTGGAGGTAAGTTGTCAGCCTGGCATTTGAAATTTCCAGATTCATTGACTTGAAACGTATTAGTATTGCGGCTTAATAGTCTGCCTCCACGGTACCATTTTATTTGATATGGCAAGAAGCCAGGTTTGTGGCAAGACAGAGTCGCTGTGTCTCCTGAAAAATAATTGGTCCATGGAGGCTGTACAGAAATCCTAGATTTGAGTGCAGCTGCTGAGGAGGAGAGAGAAATGAGTTTAAGGCAGAGGTGTTCAAGGATCCTGTGGGATAGATGGGAAGACTGCCTTTGGACAGTCCCAGAGAGGCTCTGGGCTGCATGTGAGCTGGCAGGCCTCACCTCTCCCAGGTTAGAGTGTTAGCTGAGGGATGATAATGAACAAAATGGTTTCCAGGGGATTAGATTAGCAGGGTTCTCTGTGATGTCAATGGTTAGTTAGCTGATTCTGGTAGTGTTCCTGCTCTATTGCTGTGCTCACAAACTCATGGGGACTTATAGAACCATTGTTAAATTGCATTTTCTCTAAAAAGAATACCTCATTTTATCATAAGATTTTAGCACCAAAGAATGCTTGAGGGATCCACTTGCCTAACTGTTTTATAGGTGATAATTCAAATGACCAGAAAAAAAGTCATCGCAGATAATTGTGGCAGAGCAGGGAATGGACAAATCATCTTCTGGACCAAGACAATGATTGAAATGGAGAAGCTGATGTTGGGTGGGTAGAGTAGTTATAGAAAGTTCTTGCTGTTCATGAGTTCCCCCAAATCCAAGAAACTCTCTGACCTCAAAAGGTCATAATGGTAAGTCAGAACTAAGGAAATGTGGGAGATAGTTAACTTTTTATGTCTTTTTTCTTTGTAATGGCCCAGTTGTTGGATGTTCTTTTGTTCTCCATTAACTTCCTTCAGAATATTCCTTCTAAAAGAGAATGCAATGCTCCTGATGGCATCTCCATAGTGTGATGCTGTCAAGGGAATTTTTCCCAGCCTGCTGATTGGAGGGGATTCCATTCAGAGTCTGAATGTTTACTGTAGAGATGAAGATGTCCTGCCTGGATAAGTAGGTAGTCCATCTGCAAGAGGAGTAAGTTCAGGGCCTGTGAAGGTCAGGAGCTAGCTGCCAGGTGTTCATTCAACACCTTACCCACGGAGGGTCAGAGGGTAAAATAAAGCTACTCTGGCTTCAAAAGCCCAGACATCTCTTTTACATCCTATTTGCCTTGACAAGAAAATGGGAGAGACTCTGGCAGTCACAATTTTTTTTTTTTTTTTGGTCGATCGTGGGGCCTGAACTCTGGGCCCGGGCGCTGTCCCTCAGCAATTCAGCTCAAGGCGAGCACCCTGCCACTTAAGCCACAGTGACACTTCCGGCTTTTTCTGCTTATGTGGTGCTGAGGAATCGAACCCAGGGCCTCAAGCATGCAAGGCAAGCACTCTACCACTGAGCTACCTTCCCAGCCCACGAAAATATTTTAAATTTGGGAGATACTTTTATCCAAAAACCCTGAAGAGCAAAACAAACACACAAAAACTGTGGCAGGGGTACTCACTAAATTGTCTACTGACAGATTGTCCAGGGACAGGACCTGCAAAAATAAATGAACAAATATAACAAGAAGCCAGAAATACACATAGACCAAAGGTATTTTTTGAGATAATATATTTTGCTATCTATTTATTATGTTTTCCATTACAAATTCATTTATAAAATGTTAGCAGTTAATCAAATACACTCTATGTGGCCTCTAAATATAGTCTATATATACCAAGGTACATATGTTATATATAGTTTACATATGTTTAGTACGTATTTGTGTATATATATGTATGTGTGTGTATATATATATATATATATATATGTGTGTATATATATATATATATATATATATTCCTACACTTTTTTTTTGGTTGGTCATGGGGCCTGAACTCTGGGCCTGGGCACTGTTCCTCAGCTCTTCAGTTCAAGGCCAGTGCTCTACCACTTGAGCCACAGCAGTACTTCCAGCTTTTTCTGCTTATGTGGTGCTGAGGAATTGAACTCAGGGCCTCATGCATGCAAGGCAAGCACTCTACCACTGAGCCACCTTCCCAGCCCCTCCTAGACTTTTAAGATAAAAGCTAAATGGGATCTGCCAGCAACAAGTTGACTGGTGGGGGAAACAAAAGCACAAAACCATAATTATACTACAATGACATAATGTAATTCAATTAGTGAAATAATACAAGAACACAATGGGTAGGTATCTTGAGAATCAAGGTACAACTCAGGCCAGTGTTGAAAGAGAGATGGGGGAAGGGAGAAAGGGAGAGAGAGAGGGGGAGAGAGATTATTGAAGACTCAGGTGGACCATGGGAGGTACCTGAAGGAACATGATGCTTGAGAACACTATGAACAAGAACATAGGAATTGGCCAGGTGAGGGTTAGTACCCTTGGGGAGAGTATTTAAGATAGGAAGGACATAGAAGTAAAAATATGTCATTGGTGCTCAGGGAGTGTGAGTGTGTGTGTGTGTGTGTGTGTGTACATCTGGAAAGGTAAGAAGTGGTGGGTAGTAAGATTACAGAGGAATATAAGGCCCAAGTAAGCAGCTTTGATTTTACTATAAAAGCCCTAGGGAACCACTGAGAGGTTTCAAGGAGTGTGAGAATTAGAATTTGAAGCCCTAGATGGCGTGTTCTGGCAGAGGGCAGCCTTCAACGGGACAAGATGTGGGGTATTTTAGAAGGCCATGTGAGAGTTGGTGATATTTCATTTTCTTCAGAGTATTCAACTGGAGTGATCTGAACCAATTGTTGACTTGTTCGCTTTGATTGCTTCCCCTGTAAAGTGAGGATTCATCTCCACCAAATAACCCTCTAGAATCTACAATGCTACGTGGCATATAAGAGACACTCATTAAATATTTATTGAACAATGAATTAATTAACAATCTAAGTGAGTGATAGAGGTAGGTGAACACAAATTTGAGAAATGAGCAATGAAGACATAGAGGAGGCAAAGTTGGCAGGGACAGATTCTAGAAATTTCTAGAATGCCAGTCAAATGCCAAGACCATGTAAAACTCATGGAGAAGTTGCTGAAGCCATATAATTTCCATTGAGAACAGAATTATTCACAATTACCCAAATATTTTAGTCAACGTGGCTTTTATATTGTTTTAAATGCAGCTAATATTTTCCTGAGCACTTTCTATATGGCATGTGTTTATATATATTATTTCATATAATCTTGCTAATCGCTATGAGGTAAGTACACCATTACCCATCCTTTAACAAGGCCTGGACATTGTCTTTTAGCTTTTTAGTTCAAGGCTGGTGCTCTATCACTTGAGCCACAGCTCCACTTCTGGCTTTTTGGTGGTTGATTGGAGATAGGTGTCTTATGGACTTTTCTGCCCAAGCTGGTTTGAATAGAAATCCTCAGATCTCAACCTGCTATTTAGCTAGGATTAAAGGTGTGAGCCATCAGCACCCAGCTAGGACAGAGTTTTGAATCCAGATCTTCTTTGAGCCCAAAGCACATGGTCTGGCCAGTCCCCATCCTGCTCCTCTGTGTTGAGCCACACTGGAATGCGCTTGTAGTTCTGAAATAATAGACCATGCACCCTGTGGCTGTCCACCCTGTCCTTCCTCCCTCCTTCTAGGCTTCCAAAGCCTTTATTAACCAGTTGGAGTAGCTTATGTTTGTCTATTAGTGACTTTGCCTTGATAATTAACTAGGGTCTTTTTATATAGTCTTTCTGCGTTCCCATCTATGGCTGAGCTTCCTGAGCACAAAAACAAGGCCTCCTGTGCTCTCTTATTATTCCTAACCTCTGGTACGGTGCTGTGTATATCAACGTTCTGCTGAATGAAAGAGTAAAACTATTTAATTCTAACATTTTCACCTTGGCCAAACAGAGGAATGGATTTGGAGCTATGGATTGATGGAGACTTATGCACAACCCCAGGCACAAGGAGAATGTTAGAGCTGCAAGTTTTGCCTTATTTGGCCTCTGTGCTACCCACTGGACCTACTGTGCTTGTTCACAGGCAATTATGGCTGTAATTTTTGCAGAAGGAGGTATCTTCCACCTCTTCCTATATTCAGGACCTAAACCAGGCCTTGTCATAAGGGGGTAAATGCATCTACAGTACAGAGAGAATAGGCTCTTGTCAGGATAAAGCATTATCAACCAAGCTGGGCACTGGTGTCTCACGTCTGTCATCCTAGCTTCTCAGGAGGCTGAGATCTGAGGATTGTGGTTCAAAGCCATATCTGGAAATAAAGCCTACCCGACTCTTATCTCCAGTTAACCACCAAAAAGCTAGAAGTCCACTTGAGTTATGGCTCAAATTGGTAGAGTGCTAGCTTTGAGGGGGAAAAAACGCTCAGAGACACCACCCAGGCCCTGAGTTCAAGCCCCAGGAAACATACAACAACAAGAATGAGAACAAGAACAACAAATCCAGAACAAAAAAACACTATCAATCAGCAGACATGACCATTTTCTAGGCTTTGTGAAGTATCTGTGGAAATTGTAACTGAAATTTTAGTTGTTATGATTTCTTTCTCTTAAGGTTAAATTTTTTTTTCCCCCAGCTGTGACCACTTTCTTTAGGTTCAAGAGAGGAAGTCTTGCGTTGCACAGAAAAGCTAGAAAATATTAACCTCCATAGGTAGGGAAGACTCTCTGAGCAAAGGCTGTACTCCAAGAAAGGGCCAAGCTTTTCTTGGTGGAGCAAGAGAGAGGGGCTTCCCAACCCCCCTGGGCCCATGCTGAGCCATGTACTCACCCAGGACCAGTAATATTGCCCACAGTGGCATGAAGACCAGAACCATCCAGAACGGAGGCCAAAGCAGGTATTGTCCCAGGAACATCAGTTTTTGGTCTTGTTTTTATAATCAATGTACAGCTCACACCAGCCCCAAGGAATGCAACTGCTTTTATTTTTTGTTTTAGAAGAACAAAATATATTGGTGAATCATAAAAAAAGGAAGTGGGAGTGCCAATCTCTAACTAAGACTCTATTTCCTGCTCTAATGGTACAATGTGAAAAGATAAATGTTAGGGTTTAAAAACCATCTACCCATGAACCCATATTTATGCAGTTGGGAAATTACCTTAAGGAAAATATGTGAAGATAGTTTCACAAAAATATTTATGGTACGGTTGGCCATGGTGGTAAATGCTTATAATCCCACCTATTTAAAGGGTGACATTTGGAAGGATGCTGTTCAAGTTCAGCCCAGGCAAACAGCAAGATCCCATCTCAATCAAAAGGGGAGTATGGCAGTATGTACCTGTGTTCCCTGTATGTGAGACTGTGGATAGAAGGACTGATATCTCAAACTAGACCCTGTTCTGCTCCCAGCACTCTCCTGCAAAAACAAACAAACAAATAACAACAACAAAACCCATGAGAGACCCTATCTGAAAAATAGCTATGAGCTAAAAGATTTCAGAGTGTGGTTCAAATGGCAAAGTACAAGTGCAAGGTCCTGAATTCGAATCCCAGTACTGCAAAAAAAAAAAAAAGGTTAATATAACATCATTCATCATTACCTAAACACTGGAAGCAAAGTAAAAGACTAAGAACATGGGACTGTTTGAGAATATTCTAGTCCACTTACCCAATGACAAGCGATGAAGCCAGTAATAATGAGGTAAACCTAACATGCAAAGAAGGCAAGGCAATACTGATTAATGCAAGAGAAGTGAGGTATAGACTGGTATTTGTTTAATTATCCTTTGGGGTACAAATGATAATATAAACTATACTTTATAGGTAGTTATAAGCTATAAGCTACACTTTTTTCTGGAGAATATACCAAAATAATGGTTACATTTGAGGATTTGTAGATGGGAAAGAAGTATATAATATCTTTTTATACTGTCTGCTTTCTTTCTTCTTACAAATTACCATGTGGATGTTTTGTTTTTACAAATTTTTGTTTGTTTGTGTGTGGGGCTTGAACTCTAGGCCTGGGCGCTGTCCCTCAGCTCTTCAGCTCAAGGCGAGCACTCTACCACTAGAGTCACAGCACCACTTCAGTTTTCTGGTGGTTTATTGGAGATAAGAGTCTCACATTCTTTCCTGCCCAGGCTGGCTTTGAACTACAATCCTCAGATCTCACCCTCCAGAGTAGCTAGGATTATAGGCATGAGCCACTGGTGCCAGGCTGTTTTTACAATATTTTAAAAGTCAGTTTTTCCATCTGGGCATATGAGTCAACAAAGGTCCCTAAGACAAGGAGTGATTGTTTCTTTGAAATAATTTCTTCCCAACTTTTCTCTTGGATTTATGGTCTTAGGATCTTGGTCTTCCCAAAGGGTTAGTTTCCTAGCTACCAATGCACATTACCTTAGGTGATCTGTTGTACCTCAAGAAAAATATACAGTCTGAGTGTTGGTGGCTCACATCTATAATCCTAGTCACTCAGAAGACTGAGATCTGAGGACTGTGGTTCAAAGCCTGTAAAAGTCAATGAAATTCATCTCTAATTAACCACCAAAAAGCCAGAAGTGGATGTATGGCTCAAATGGTAGACAGCTAACCTCCAGTGAAAAAGCTAAGGGGGCAGTGTTGGGCCTTGAGTTCAAGAAAGAGAGAAAAAGAATGAATGAATGAAAGGAAGGAAGGAAGAAAAAGAATGAGAGAGAGAGAACAAAAGAGAGAAAGAAAGAAAGAAAAAGAAAGAGAGAGAAAGAAAGAAAGAAAGAGAAAGAAGGAAGGAAGGAAGGAAGGAAGGAAAGAAGGAAGGAAGGAAGGAAGGAAGGAAGGAAGGAAGGAAGGAAGGAAGGAAGGAAGGAAGGAAGGAAGATCATGCAGATTAATTCATTTCAGTTCATTATGAAAACCTCAAAGAGGGGTTGGGAAGGTGGCTCAGTGGTAGAGCGCTTGCTTTGCATGCATGAGGCCCTGGGTTCGATTCCTTAGCACCACATAAGCAAAAAGAAAAAATCCAGAAGTGGCGCTGTGGCTCAAGTGGTAGAGCGCTAGCCTTGAGCTGAAGAGCTGAGGGACAGCGCCCAGGCCCAGAGTTCAGGCCCCACAACTGGACCCCCCCCCCAAAAAAAAGAAAAGAAAACCTCAAAGAGAATAAAGTCTTTGCCAACTTTTGAAGCTAAAACAAATAACATGAATGCGAACATTTTTAAATGTCTCCAGGTACATGTACACTTACATTTCTCTTGTGTATATGCATGGAAGTTCAATTCCTGGCTCACAAAGTGTGTAAATACTGTCTTTACTTTTAGAAAAACATTACCACATTGTTTTCCATAGTGCTTGTGACAAAGCTGCGGCGTTGTTCCAGGCAACCCGTGCGAATCCTCATTGCTCTATAGTCCTGGCTGTTGGAGGTATCATTATCTTGTATATTTTATCCATTCTGGTGGGATTATCTCAAGGTGGTTTTAATTTTTTACGTCTCTGCTGAACTACAAGGTCGTCACTTTTTCATATCCTTGTTGGTAATTTAGAGACCTTTTATGTGAACTGTCTCCATTTCTCCTTACTTTTATGTTGTTTTTCAGTCATTTTGATTTGTAGTTCTTCCAAACTCTGGATTTGGATGTTAGCTGGTTGTATGCATGGCAAATGCCTTTTCTTTTTCTTTTTTTTAAATTTTGTTTTTGGGTCCCGTCGTGGGGCCTGAACTCTGGGGCTGGGCACTGTCCCTCAGCTCTTCAGCTCAAGACTAGCACTCTACCACTTGAGCCACAGTGCCACTTTTTGTTTTCTGAATGGTTTATTGGGGATAAGACTCTCAAGGACTTTCCTGCCTGGGCTATCTTTGAACTGTGATTCTCAGATCTCAGCCTCCTGAGTAGGTAGGATTACATGTGTGAGCCACTGGTGCCTGGTTCCTGCCAGGTTTTTAATCATTAGTTGCATCAGATCTATAAGCTACTTATATAAATCAGTAGGGCTGAGTTTTTGAATCATAAGCATAAACTATCTATCCCCTGTTGACCTAGGTTGGCTTGAACCTCCCCAGTAATTTTCTGTGCTTTGTCTGTAGAGGCTGTATTTTGCATTAGGTTTATTCCTAGATATTTAATATAATTTTGATGATATTGTAAACAATATCATTAAGTCTTTTAAAACATTTACTAGTATAGGAAAATATTGATTTTTTTGGTATATTAACTTCTTTTTTTATTGTGAGAATACTGAACAAAGGAGTTACAATTATATGGGCAAGATAATGAGTACATTTCTTATCAAGCATTTTTGCCTCCTCTTTGTTTCCCCTTCCCATCCCTTCCCATACTCCCCCCTCCTTCCACCTATCCTCCCCCCACGCCCCCCTCCAAAGTTGTAAAGTTCATTTTTCGACATAACGACTTGTACATCTCATTGTTGCAATGGGTCCACCTGTATCCCTAGTTAAAGGATTTGTTTTTTCCCTTCTGCTCCACAAATTATACCAACATCAAATACAGTGAAAGCATGGGTTATACCGTGGCGGAAGGACATACAAAGCAACAAAGAAATCATCTTATAAATATGTTAGAAACAATTGCATGAAAGGTAAAAAAAACAAAAAAACATTTGAATACTTATCTTGGGGTTCATTCCCCTAACATCAACTTATCTGACCTTTTCTGCTTGACTCAGACATATACTAGTTATTACAAATAAAGGAAACCATGGGACCTATGTTTCTTCGGGCCTGGCTTACCTCACTTAACATAATTTTTCCAAGTTTTTCCATTTCCTAACAAATGGGGCAATGTCATTCTTTCTGATGGGGGCATAGAATTCCATTGTGTATATATACCACATTTTCTTGATGCATTCATCTACTGAGGGACATCTGGATTGGTTCCATATCTTAGCTATGGTAAATAATGCTACAATAAACATAGTCGTGCTGGTTGTATATTAACTTCTTATTTACTAAAATGGCCAAATTACTTACCAATTTTAACAACTTACCTTTAGGTTTTTAGAATTCATGACAGTTCATGTACTGTGTTTGCCATGTTTGTGAATACTAGTTTTTTTGGTGTGTGTGTGCATGGCAGTCCTATGGCTTGAACTCAGTGCTTAGGTGCTGTCCCTGAGCTTCTGTTGCTCTTTCAAAGTTCTCTTGAGTTTGAAATAATATACTCCAATCTTTCAACTAAGATGACTTTACCCTGTGATAACAGATTCTTGTTAAAATTCATGGGCAGCTGGGTACCTGTGGCTCATGTGGCTCATGCCTGTAATCCTAGGTATTCAGGAGGCTGAGATGTGAGGATCATGGTTCAAAGACAGCCTGGGCAGAAATGTCCATGAGACTCTTATCTCCTACTAACCACCAGAAAAACTGGAAGTGGCACTGTGGCTCAAGTGGTAGGGCACTAGCCTTGAGCTGGATTGCTGAGGGACAGTGCCCAGGCCCAGAGTTCAAGACCCACGACCAACCAAAAAAACCCAAAAAAAGTCATGCATAGATGAATACATACTTTATAGCCCTGCCAAAGTATAATTTTAATGAGAAAATTCACTTGCTTTGTCACCATATTCCAATTTTTTAAAATTTATTATGAGTTTTGTGTGTGGTACTGAGGTTCAAACCTGGGACCTTGTGTATGATAGGCAAGCACTCTACTATCGAGCTGTGTTCTCAGGTACTAATTTTATTAAATTGTTTGATTAATTATTAATTTACTTTCATGGTATTGCCAATTGACCACCGTGCCTTGTGAGTGCTAGGTAAGCATTACACCACTGAGTTACACCCTTGCCCACCACAACCCTCTTTTAGAACATTTCCAGTAACCCCTAAAAATAACCTAGTGTTCATTTTTGCTGTCACTCTCAACTCCCACCCCCAGCTCCAGGCCATCAGTTACTAATAACCAACTTTCTTCCTCTAAAGATTTGCCTACTCT